ATATGGCATATGCTTGCAGATCGCATATGGCATATGCTTGCAGATCGCATATGGCATATGCTTGCAGGTTGCATATGCTTGCAGATCGCATATGCTTGCAGATCGCATATGCTTGCATATGAGATCGCATATGCTTGCAGGTCTCATAAGCTTGCATATGAGATCGCATATATATAACATTAAAACATATTGCACCTTGCATATTGCATATTGCATATTGCATATTGCATATCGCATATCGCATATCGCATATCACAGCATATCGCAGCATATCACATATCGCTGCATATCGCATATCGCTGCATATCACATATCGCTGCATATTGCATATCGCTGCATACATATCGCATATCGCTGCATACACATACATATCGCATATCGCTGCATACATATCGCTTATCGCTGCATACATATCGCATATCGCTGCATACATATGGCATATCGCACATCGCTGCATATCGCATAGCATATCGTTGCATACATATATCGCATATCATTGCATATCGCATATCGCTGCATATCGCATATTACATATCGCACATATGCATATATGCATATATGAAACATAAAACATAATTTTGCTCCGGATCGAACCGGCGACCTTCCGTTCTTTTCGGCGCTGTCTTAAGCGCGTACGGCAAGCTCCCGGCCCGGAATTTCCAAAACGCTCCAGACAGACAACCGGACAGCAGACGGACAGCGGACGGACAGCGAACAGCGAACTCGGCATAGGCCTCCGCTCATAACATATGAGCTACGGCGACGAGGCGCGGTCCCTGCGGTCCCGAGGGGGCCGTAGCTCTCGTCCGGGTCCGAGTCCAGATACGTTCGGGTGCATCCGGACGTTCGGGTGCATCCGGATTGCAAATGCTTGCGTATTGCAAATGCTTGCATATGCAATATCCTTGCATATGTTTGCAGATCGCATCTGCTTGCAGATTGCATATGCTTGCAAATCGCATATGCTTGCAAATGGCGCATGCTTGGCATATACCTGGAAGTATAGTTCCCCTT